TTATGGAACAGCGTTCGTTTAGCTCCAGCTATTTGTTAATAGCCACGGCGGCGTATCTGCTTTACGCAGATACGCCGTCGAAGAAATCTGCGCTGAGCACGGGGCGGCAGTTATAAGACTGCCGCCCTTTCATTGTTTTTTCAATCCAATTGAATTGGTATGGAGCCAGCTCAAAGGGAACTTGACCAAAATGGGAAAACCCGGCGATTCCCTGTACACGGTATCAAATTTCATAAGAAGTGATAATCACAGCTATGCTTGTACGTTCAGGTGAGAATTAGAGCTTTGGATTATATGGAGAACGTGGCTCCTGACCTCTGCCGCCGCTGGGTACAACATGCTATCCGTCAGGAGGATGCAGCAAGAGAAAAAATCCGCATAGACAGCGGTGGTGACGATAGTGAGGACGACATGAACATAGTACCTCAGCTGGCTTCCGATGAAGAATCATCTTGGGAGGATTCGGATTTAGAACTAGATGATCTTGATTTGGAAGATTTTGAAGAAATGTAATCGAAAACACTTCATGGTCATTCCATCTAGTCGGTGCGTGTTCAAAATGTCCTTCATATGATTCACCTCGCCTTAAAAGTAGATGAACAAAAACATCGTAAAAGAAAAATTTTAAATTAGATGACGAAGAAAGCAAAAATAGAAATATCCCTACCTTCCAAAGACATTTCTCTTTGACTAGGCCAGTCTACTCCGCTGGCATTACAATATCTTCAGACTTTATTGCGTTGTACATTTGCTCCAACATGTTTGGATCAAAATCTGATCAGCCATTAGTACCGGAAAGTTTCCGCTTGAAGCAATCCACTGTCATTGGTGGTTAATTTCGTTTCATCTGAAAAAAATTGATATATTTCTGAAAGTTCTGTATCCTGCCAAAAGGCGAATAGTTTATTGTCGAATGTGGCGAATGGCGAATGTCAAACGCTTACGTTACGCAAAAAATGAGATAGGAAAAATACAATGGAAAATGAAAGCAAAAGCTCACGATACTCAGGTAGATTGAGCAAAGAAAAGAGTTTACCTGGGGGTTGTGCTGGTCAGTGTTGAGCATGATTAT